GGTGCTACCCGTTCTGAAAATATGCCAAAAATAAAACAGGGCTTTGAAATACACTCAGCTACATTTCTACAATTTAGAAAGACTTTTAGCAAGTGTCCTGGGGTGACTGCCCTAAACTAGGACAGCAAGCTTCACATCCAACCAGGATTCTGCAGTTTCTGTGAATACCTTATCGATGGCTACAATAACCTTTTGCAGCTATTAGATTATTTTCAGAATATCCCAGCTGACACAGACCTGCCGCACTCCCCACCTGAAGAGCAGTGATTTTAAGAAATCGTTCCACAAATCACAGCTGTCTCTGCAATCCAACTGATCTTCTCAGGATTCTTGGAATGTAGGAAAAGAAGCAAATAAAATCACCCTTTTCTCGCTTCCTACAGAAGTCTCATTATTCACACCCCAGGAGCAACAGAGAAGCCACTTTATAATCACACATTCACACCACTAAAGAACTCACAACTAGAAGCTCACTACTGGTGACAATTTCCCTGTTTTGCCATATGGCACAGAAGAAATGCAGCTCCAGACAGAGCTTTCTGCAGCCCACTGCCATTGGGAGAGTCTCGTTCATTGCAGACCTATTCATATCTCTGTTAAGCCCTACAGAGTAGTGCCACGAGATACCCAAGTGTCTAGCACACACTCCCAAAGCTTGAACACCTCTATGAAAATGAGTAGCACCATCAGGTACATGCAGATGGCTTGCAAAATGCATCATTTTCAAAGTGACTGAAAGCTAAGTGTTATCATGTCTATTCAAGCCTGTTTTTTAAATAAAGACAAGATAGTACATTAATGTGATGTTGGAGTCTAGCTCTGCCTTACTTCTAAGTGTAAATTTTAAAATGTACTCCTCCCCTCTACACTCACTCTTTTCAGTGCAGTGTATTTCAGATCCAGCAGATGCTTGTCTTGTTCCTAAAACAGATTTAATGTGTTTTCCATGATCTAAACACCTGGCAAAAGAGCTCTGTGCAGATTTAATACTTTCCTAGCCCTGTATTAAATTTGTCCTAGTGTTGCATATAGCATAATTCTGCAGTCATGTCAACTATTCAGGTAATGCCAGAATGTCGTCATTACGGTTTGTGTCAACACCATGATCTGTATGTACCTTGTAATCATTCTGGTGTTGGGTTGCAAAGGTCCTTGGACTCTTCATTTGGCTGAGTCTAATTCTGTCCACAAAGATCTAGAGTTACACTAAGTAAAGGCTGACATTTACATGAGACACTGGGACTGCTAGAATGACTCACCAAGGTAAAACCTTGGCTAGATATTCTTTCAAGGGCGTAAATTGTAGGGTGATGACTTTTCACAGACTCATAAAATCACAGAATGGTTTGGGTTGGAAAGGATTTTAAAGACCATCTCGTTCCAACTCCCTTGCCATGGACAGGTACACCTTCCATTAAACCAGGTTGCCCCAAGCCTCTTCCAGACTAGCCTTGAACACTTCCAGGGATGGGGCAGCCACAGCTTCTCTGGGCAACCTGTGCCAGGGCCTCAGCACCCTCATAGGGAACAAGGTCTGCTAACCTGCTGTAGAAAACCTCTCTGCTTAGCAAGGCAAATACAGACAGAGGGGCAGGTCACACACAGAGCTCCTCAGGATGTGGGATCAGGATCTCAGAAGTCTGAGATCTCAGGAGCCTGGAGCACCACTCATAAGGAAAAGGAGATGCGTCAGAGAAACAGATACCCTAAGAGTGACTTTCCAGTGTTTCCTTGGAAGCTGAATGACCTCCTCTCATTTTTACTGCTCAGTTGGAGACACACACACACACACACACACACAGGACAGCTTTGGCCTCCTACAGAAGCCCACTATTTCAACAATTTGAAACCAATTAGTAATATCAGGGCTAGTCAGCATTTCAGCCAGTGCCCAAATGCTCTCAGGACAATTAGTCTCCCAAATACACTCCACCCTTTAAAGCAGCATCAGCCATCATGTTCAGCAGGCTTGAAAATCTCCTGGTTTCAGGATTTGAAAATATCCTAGCCCTGAAGTCATTAGGTCTCAATCAAAACCAGGGAATTCAGACTAAAGCAGTGACCCAGTGCTGAAGCTCATAAGCCTTTTATCTGTTCCCATGAACTCTCCTTTACCTAAATCTAATATTAACTGTGAGAGCATCCAACACACTCATGAGAAGCAAACTGTGAAATAGAAGGACCACACAAGAGGAGGTGAGAACAGAGCATCTAATGTGAACCATGTGTGTGAAGGATGTGTCTACAAACAGAGGTGCTGCCAGCAACGTGGATTTCAAGGATGGCTTCTGCTTTTTGTAGACACCTACAGCAGCCAAGAACAATCAGAATTCCCAGTGATGGGGTCTTCACTCAGCTGAACGGATAGGATCTGCTCTGATGAGAGGTTAACCCAGCCTTTCTCAAGCACAGACAGCTGCAGCAGCCCACATAGAGCTGCCTGCTTTTACTGTGAGAACACTGACTGCCTGGTGTGTCACAGGGCATCAGGCCAGGCACACTTGCAACCCTGACAGCCACCATCCCTTGGCCATGGTCTCTGCCACGTCAGGAGGTCTTAGCAGCAATCATCACATCGAGGAACTAATGCCATGCAACTGAGTAACTCTCTTGAGCACAAATTCATAAGCTATTCCTGCTTAGTGCTAAAGTTCAGTGCCTCTTTCATCATACTGGAAACCTGTCAGGAGCTGCTCTGATTCAGTTCAGTAGAGCAACATCTCTCCAAGACCTTGCTCCTCACTCCAGATAGAGTGTGTCCAATGCCTCCTGCAGCACCTCACTGTGCTGTGGTCCTGAGCCACAGATGGCCACAGTCCGCTCTGACCACTGCACAGGGCAACCTCGGTGGCCTCTGTTTCTGTGCACATCTTGTGTGAATCCAGACTGATCACGGCCTTGGAAACAGAGTGGAACATGAAGAGTGATGGCAGTTCTAAGGATAATGAAGTCTTTTGTTGTCCAGAAAAAGAAGGGGCAATGATCCTCCAATCCACTTTTCCTAATGGTGTCTCAGGTGCATGGGACACTCTTTATAGCAGATATATCAGTCCAGGAACTCCTTTCATAATCTGAACACATCTGATTTTTCATCACCCTTTGACTTTGGAGACAAAACAGAAAAACCCAAATAATCCAATATCCCAGGCCCTGAAAACTGACTATACCAACTGTTACCTGATAGACTAGAAGGCAGCACTGGAACCAGCACCACAGGAATATGTGGTGGAGTCCAGCCAGGACAGGTTTGCAGTGGGAACCCAGGGCAACTCAAAAACATTGGCTTCCGAGGCCCAGCTCCCCCATCCAAGGCTTTGGGATTATCCAACAGTTCTTGCATCACAGCACAGCCCTGCTGATGGCCTCATGATATAACCTTGGACAGGAGCCATCCTTGAACTGCTTGAGAGACATTTATAAATCAAGAGCAACAGCTAGAAATATGAAGGTCATGGGTGGTCCAAGTCCATGGGTAACTGTGTCTGGGGCCTTCAGGGCCCAGTCACACACTGCAGGTGTGAATGAGACACACAGGGATATGTTCTTATTTTAACCAGGCAAATACAACCAGACTGCAAAATATCCATCACGGTAATTGGGTGTCACTCTTGGAGAGTGCCGGAAAGCAGAAGAGAAAGAAAACAGATCTCAAGTAAATTATTTGCACCAAAGAGTTATGCAAAGCCTCTGAGGAATTCAGGCACATACATTGATTTTATTTTATCTGTTATTTGTAGCCTACTGACTTCTTCTAAATCCCACTCTGCTGAGGTGTCTCTGTCTCTATACAGGTACCCATCTGTAACTCCATCAATATGACTCCCAGACAGTGTGACAGTCAGCTAAAAGATCTCAAATTTGCAGTTACTCTACGTAACATCTAACAAATACTGTAAGTGCTAAACTCTACCATGTGAAATCAACATGGGTAAGATCCAAACCCTGAAGAAACACCCACACTCTTCTGACTTAGAGCACTGTCAGGGTGCCAGAAAACAGCTGCAACCTTAAAAAGAGTTAGGTGCCAGACCTCACATCTCACATCTGGTTCTCCACAGACGGCAAACACAAAGGAAAACTGCCACACAGGCAGTGGCTCAGGCAAGGAGCTCACATGGGATCACTACAGTGGCCTCAGCAACTGAGCATTCAACAGCAAACAGCAGCACTGCAAACATCTGCCAACACCTTCAGGTGCTGTCTGCACATCCACAGGCTCAGGCACAGACACAGGGCTGTACACGACATCAGCTACCAGGCAACATCAAATTTGATGCCAAAGGTGCCAAGAGCAGGAGAGGGTGGAAGCTGCCCTAATGGATTGGGGAATGCAAATCCCAGGGCCTGCTTCTGCTCACAAGGATTGCATCACAGCAGAGAGCAGCAGGGGACCTCCATAGCTCCTGCAGCCAGCAGAATGCCAGTTCAGGCATTTCCATGTCTTCTCCTGGCTGGCAAACCAGGCTCCATTCCTTCCCCACAGCTGTAGGCACACAGGCACAGGAGCACTGTCCTCATGTGTCACACTTGCTGCTATCCCTCACCAGAGGCACAGTTCTAAGGCTCACTCCAGAAGTAGAGTGTGTGACAACAGCACTGCTGCTGTTCCTGCAGGGTGTTTGTCAAGGCTGGCCTCTGTCCTGGTGCAGGTGGCCCCAGGAGAAGTAGAGTTGGCATCCTGTGGTACACCAGCAAGAGCAATCCCTCTTGCTATAGCAAAAGGGAAGCAAAGATGAAATCTGTAAACCTTTAATTACCATGGTGAGCAATTAAGATCTCAATAACTACTTTTTCTCTGTCAATCCAGTATGCTGCAGTCTTCATGCAGAGGAACCTAGCAGCTGAGATTCCAGTTTCACTTTCGGTAAAGTAACAAGGGTTGTTTTAGACTTTCCCATCCCTACAGGATCCCAACAGGAAAACCCTAGTTCCAGCATGAAGCCAGGTTTCACACCTAACTTGGGTCTTTTATAGAGGTTTGTATCAATAATCTTCTTAAAGTGTCTCTGTGTTCTGGAGGTGACCTGAACTACTCTCAAATGCTCAGGATGCTTCTATTTCCTCTGGAACCTCTGTGTGACCCCAGCCTGCAGTTCACAAAACAGTCATTGTTGTGTCGTAAGGAAAAGGAGATAGTTCTAAACACACACTGCTTTATGTTTGTCTCTCCAGGTTCTTAGGGTAAATCCAAAGGCTAAGTCTCCTTCAAGTCTCAGCATCCTGTCGGGGCCAGAGGAATGTCACAGTAAGTGTAAATATTATTGGATCAAGTATCCTCAGCCTCCTAAAGCCCCTGTCTCCATCCTACCCTGTTTATTTTTCCCCACACACTAGGTAAAAGCAGAGAGCCACCAGTGGTTTTTTGTCCATTGGCTCCTCAGACAGTGCAGTCTCTTACAATCATTCAGTTCACTAGAGTTACACCACTTTAATTCAGTCTTATCTACTGACACTCAAAGAGTGGGTTACACATGTTTTAAATTATTATTTGTAGCATTCTAGAAATATTTTGCAAGGATCAGCTCAGGCTCATCTTCAGCAAGTGTCTAAGAGGCAAGGATCAGCATGAACATCAAGGTCTGGACCCTAAGCTTTCTGGCTTGGAACATTTCCTAGTCAGAATTGCCAATAATAGATGGAACAGGTGACAGGGCTGGAAATACCCAAGGGGCTACCACAGTTATGCTTCAAAGATTCACTTCAGAACAGAGAGCTGGTCTAGAGCACTTTTGTGGCCAAAGCCTGGAGAAGTCAGAACACCTAGGGACAGATTCACATCTTAAGCCAGGCTGGAAAGGAAAGAGATGAAAACATGGGTTATTTCAAAAATAAGGTCATAAAAAGAAGGCCAGTGTCACAGCAAAACACACCCAAGCACTTCAGTTGCACATTTATATGCAAGGCACATAGTTCCAAAGCTAAATGAGACAGATGAGTGCACATCAACACTTTACCATGGAATAAGGATGTATCTTGCACTGCAAATACTTGATCATCTCAAAACGGCCTTTCTTGCTCTACAGAGACTTAACTGGCCTTACAATTTCTGTGACAGCTGAGCCTTAACACAGGATATCAGGAGAGAGCAGAAAAAAATTCTGCTCATTTCTGTACATTCAGCCTCACTGTAACAACCACAGACATGACACGAGCCAGGGAATGCCAGACCTAGGATCAGCTAAACCAGGTCAGGATTGCTGTAGAAGGGGACAGCTACTGGCACCAGCACTGATCTTTACATAAAGGCTGCAAGATGTGAGCAACTAATTGGCTTAAAGCTCCAAGCAACATTTACAGGTTATCAGTTCCTCTTCCCACTAACTTGGTGTCTGCAGGCCAGGGAGTTGTTTCCTCTTGAAGCACCTGAGTAGAGGAGACTCTCCATGTGGTATTTACTAGCCCAGAGCATGAACAGCAGATAAAACACTCTGAATCTTCTTCAAAGTAAGTGAAGTGCCACTTCTTCAAAGTGCCAGCAACACAGCCAGGTTTCTGCATGTGAAAAACTCAGTCTGTAAAAATGTCTTCTCTTTGCCATCTAGATGCAGAGTCCCTCTCTGAGCCTGGCTGGGTCTGCCTATGGAACCACACCTGTGTTTACAAAGGTAAAGACCACAAGTTGTCTGAACAACATAGTTTGTCCTGCAACTACCAGCAATAGACTTTGTATTTTTTTCTTCCATCAGAAGGTATTTCTAGGCTGGAACATTGGTTCATTTACAATTCAAAAAAGCCAGCATACTTTGTTAGCTATGCTATCAAACTAATATCTTAATTGGTAAACGATCCAGACAGACAGAACCACTTATAGGAATTCATCTCATTTATTTCCTGCAAAGGAGGCTGAAGTGGAAATCTCACATTGTAACCACCCTTATTACATTGCATCCAGTGGAATAGATGTTTTTCCTGCATTTGTATCTTTATTTAAATGCACAAGCAAGGCTTTAATGAGCACTAGCCTTCTGGTGAAAAAACTTCCACACACAACCCACTGCAACTGCATTTAGAATTCAAACAATTATTGTAAGTACAGGCAAGACCATCTTCCTCACCAAAGGGTGTATCATTTCTTAATAAATGCTCCAATGGGGAAATACTTAGATAAGACATTTAAAACAAATATTTTCTCCTCCAGGGTCTACAAAACATAAGAGCTACCAAGGGTCAGTTGGTGGTATTTGAGTGTCGCATTCACTCCACACCCACCCTGCAGGTTCACTGGTACAGAGAATATGATCAGATTGTGGATTCTGCTGATTTCCGAATACTGCGGAAAAGTAGGTGTTGCTGCACTTGATGTACAGATTTTTCTGGGGACAGGGATAAGACAGGAATGAGAACTGCTATAAAAATCAGATCATTCATGGAAGCAGAGTTAAGTTTACAGTATCAGATGACCCAAAGTCACAGGCTGCTGCACAGCCTGCACTTCCTCTGGCAGTGCATGAGTGGGTCAGGCACAACAGGGGGGATTCCAGGCTGTTAGTTATTAATGACAGCCCTACTGAGCCATGGAGGCATTGTCACCATATACCAGAACTACTGATGAGCTCAGGGGAAAAAGAGCATAACCTTATTTCAAGCAATTTCTTATACTCCCAGGCATGCGGTCAGAGCTCCAGAGGCCCAAACCCACAGCAACCAACTCCAAAGTCAGTAGAGCTCTTTGTTCATCATCTCAATGGAGAGAGAGGTGTTTGTACCACCATGTTCCCCCACCACACCTGAGCTTTCCCTATCCAGATACTATTCCTTGTGATGGATAGAAAGGGAGATGGTTCCCTTGTAACCAGGGTGACAGCTGAGGTGGGAAAGGGAGTGAGGGCTGAAGAGTTTGTTTTTTTCCATTCTGACATTATAATAATTTAAATTCTTTCTCTCTTATCTTGAGCAGAGGCTTGTTCTTCAGCAGTTCCTGGTAAGTACACTGTGCATTTTTTGTTAGACTCCTCACCACACTCAGTACTTCCCACCTCATCCAAAAATGAAACAATAACATCCAAAGTTAGCCAGAAGACAATAGTCAGGCAGGCCAAGAGCTTTCAAGTTCTTAATTTTGCTGCAGGCACCCAAAAGGCCTTGATTTTTTTCCACAAAAAACAAAACCAACAAAAAACAAACAAAATACCCACCACAAAAAATGTGCAGTGTTTCATTAATGTCACAGAAAGAGTCTTCTTTAATCTTTCTCCTTCTAAACCCCTTGACTTCCTATGCTCTCTACATCACTTTTTTGCACTTTATTAGTGCCAATCCCCATCACTAAGTAGAGTCATGAAAAGAGCAATTCCTACAGGTTAACATTTGCCTCTTGTGGTACAACATTATGCCTGAATCTCTTATTTCAGAGGAAGTCTGCACCCTGGTTATTACAGAAGCTTTTCCAGAAGACTCTGGAATATTTAAATGTGTTGCTGAAAATGAATTTGGGTCTGCAGCATCCAGTGCACATCTCTCTGTTTCCCCAGGTAAGCACATGAATTTCTGTGTTGAGCAACTAAGCACAAAAGAATTTGCTGCTGCTCAACACCAGGCAGAATCACAGGTATTTCCCAAGCCTGCAAACAATTTTGTAGGCTCAAGAGAAGAGAAATGCCCCAAAAATGCAGTCTGCTTGGGTACCTTTCAAAGCTGGATGCAAGTTGTTCTGTGTTTATACTTTTGGTCCCTCTTCTTCCTGGGTCAAAGATGACAATGTGGAGATGCTGCTCCCGCTCTCAGAGGAGTCTCATCCCTGAGCTTCATCCCTCAGGGGTTCTTGGCCCCACACATGGGCTGTGTCTATATCTTGTTTATGGTACTACCTGACCTGTTTGGTTCATGCTGGAAGCCATCTGCAACCAGAATAGCACCTGGCATGTACCCAGAGCTGACCAGCCCTGGCCAGAAGTCAGGTTTGGCTTATGCAGCTGGGCAGGTTTCAGTCTGTGCAGAGCAGAATGAGCCTCATCCACCTGCTCACATTCCAGTTTCCCATCCGCTGTTACTGCAGTGCTGTACTGGTGAGCCGCCACTGCTTCCTACCTGACATGGGGACAATTCTACTTCCAGGAGCTAAAGAGCTGGAAAGCTTTGGAGGTGCTGCCCCTAGGCCAGCCGTGCAGGTCACCTTGAAGAAGCCCACCCTCCCCAGGAACAGCCAGGCAGGAGCCAAGGACCGTGGGGCAGCAGCTCTGCCATCCTACAGCCCAGAGAGCCCCGGGCTGGGCACCCGAGCAGCAGCCACAAGCTTTGGTCAGAAGAACTCCAAGAGCCAAGCTGAAGACTTCCACGGAGTTTATGAAAATTCACCTCAGGCTTCGCCTCTGCGGTAAGACAGAGAAATAATTACACCCCTGGGTCAGCTTTTTACGACACTTAAGGAATGAATAGTCCAGTGATCCCAGCTGCACATCCAGTGCCCCTTACCCTGACAGGGATCACATGCCTGAGCTGTTTGCCTGGGTGACAATGACAATGTGCAGCACCAGCCTGGCAGGTCACAGCACAGGCTGCATTTGACCAAGTGTGTAAACACCTAAAGCATCAGGGAAGGGCCTGACTCCTGCCTCATTTGCAGGAGTGTCTATCTGTGAATAACTTAAAACCATCACCCCAAATAATTGTCCTCTAGGAGACCTTTGGCTCCACAGCAGAAAATGAGGCAAAGATCACAGTACCTGGGAAATCTCAAGGTACAATTCTGCTGTACCTTGCCACCTTCCTTGGTGGCCTTGCCCAAGTGGCATCAAGTCATGTTTCTGTTTCCTACTCTGAAAGACAGCAATAAAATCAAGATCTTGTAAGCATGGTGCAGACAGGACCTGCAAAGCACTCTGTGGAGGAAAAGCACTGAACCAGTGACCCATTGGATAGAAGAAAAACTGCCCCATGCCATGGTAGGGACACTCCCCACTCAGGAGATGGAGATTCTCCCTTAGTAATAAAGTATTCCATTTTATAACAAGATTTGATCCAATTTCCATCCCAAACGCTGCTCTCAAGTTGCTATACACTTAGCGCATTTTGATTGCTCCAGAGAAACAAAACAGGTTAGAATGCATAGATTGGTGATGTCATCTCCATTTCTGGAGGGCTTATCAGGGCTTTATAGACCTAATAATGACCTCAGATGGTGACAGTTCAGCCATCCAAGCCCAGCAGAGGATTCCCTCGGTCCTGTTAGTGACAGTGAGAGCTACGTGGAGGCAGACGTGTGCCTGCTCTCCCAGCTGAGTGCCAGCCTGCAGCTGCACTGATCCTGTTTCAGAGTGTGGAAACGGCTGTCCCTGACAGAAAGCATTCACTGGCTTACAGATTATTTTTGGATGTACTCAACCATTTTAACTAAACCAGTTATTTTTACTATTCTGAACACCCTCCTTCGAATTTTACCATGGGAGAGATCATAATTCAATATAGATATCTCCATGCAGGAGAGTTACTTTTTCGCTAAATCACTGAGTAAAAATGGCTATGCTTCTATAACCAGCATGCAGATCATTAAGAGGAAGCTCTCAGTTTGGCTTCAAGCCCTTTTATGAAATCCAGGCTCACTCCAGGAAAATCAGCTGGGACCCTAAGCAGACCCTAATGCATAAAGGGATTTATGACGCCACCAAAATCAGCTATGTAATGCCTTTTAAAAATGTAGGTTATATATGTGTGTGTGTGTGTATATATATATATATATATAAATGCAAATAAAAAGCATTAACTAGACTAGACTTTAGACACATTTCAAAATACAGAGAGAAACCATTAAAATTTTCAGATAAACTCGTCTATGAGAATTTAAATACCTTTAAATCCCACAGACATACTGCCAGGTGTTTTGAAACATCATTATGAATGTGACTCAGCATTGTAAATGTTGCTGTTACCTCAAACTCAGCAATCATGGCTAATGGTTGACTGTAAAATAACTGTCTTGTTAGTCAGATTTAGCATATAATTCCCTCATGTAGTGTATGTGGTTGCAAGTTATTACCAATGGCAAATACCAACAAATGCAGTAATGACAGAACAAAGCCATTACTGGGAATAGCTCTAAAGTGAATTAAATTCTTGTACCCATATTCTCCCAATTATTGCCTAGCAACAGGCACTCCACAAAAGCAAGAAAGTGCAATTCAACAAGGCTGTCACTACTAGCTACTCCCTTCTGAGCCCTTTATACCTGCAGCTTACAGTGTCCTCAACAGCCCTGAAGAAGTAGAATAAAACCATTTTTGATCATTAACTTCATTAAAGAAACTCAATCAAAGCAAAAGAGGCTTCAAGCACTAATATGCTGCCAGGTATTTTAGGTAGCTTTTAACTATCTTAATTAATAAGCAACAGATCCTTAACTCTTTCTATACATTTTTGCTATATGACTCAAGCAATGAGGAGAAAGAACCCAATCAGAAACAGCAGGGCACCATTCTTAGAGAGTAAACTGAAGCAGGGCAGAAAAGCTGATTTCTGACACCTCGCAGTGCTGGTCACAGCACTATTAAGTTACTTGGCACAGGAGATGAGATTTATTCCTCTGCCTTCATCAGTTCAGCTTCCAGTTCTTTCACCTTTTTTCCTACCTTTTGGATGTCACATTTTTCTGTTCCTTCTCTTTCACACAAGCTGTTCCGGTTGTGCCCAGTCTTTTAAGTGTATAAAACTGTCCTTAAATTGGTGCCTTGCAGACAACTTTAGCGCAAAGCTGAGCTTGGTGGGAAGCCAGGGAGCCTGTCTGAGCTGGAGCCCGACCTTTACCGTGCTCACAGCTTCCTGCAGGGCAATGATATTATCTAGGTACTTTTTTTTTTTTTTTCAAGTGCTTGCCTCTTTCTGTACAAACCACTTCTTTTTAATTACTTTACTTTTTGTTTTCTTTTTTTTTTAACGTAAAAAGCAAATAATCTCTCCAACAACCAGGGACGCACTCCCTCCCTTAATCACTTTCATGCGAGGAATTTATATAAATTAGCACTCAATTAACACCTGCTCTGCAGTTTTAGTTCTCAAGCGATGGGGCGATGCTTAAATACAAACACTGGAGGTGGATTAACCTCTTAAAGGTGCTGTGCTGACAGAGAAGGCACAGAGAAGGGAGATGGGAGCAGCTGGGAACCCACACACAGCCCAGCTGCGGTACTTCCAGGCTTGGGGTGCTTTTGAACAATAGGCGAGGGTTGCCAAAGTATAATTAAGATATTTAAAACACTATAATGTTCATTTAAGATGTAATTAGGCATTGAAGCTGGTGATTAAAGGGATACGAATCACCTATCCTGCCAGCAGGTTCTGCTGCTGCTCTCGTGAAAACACCACAGCTGCATTTTTTGCCATCCATGTAAATAGCTGTAATAACAAACACAAACAGCAAAACGTTAATATTTACCCTATTTTTATCATCTACTTTGCAGAAGGCTCGTTTTGTTGCTCAGTTTATGACTCACATGAGTTTCGGACACATCCCTGAGCAGTGCCGCTGCTCCTGGCCGAGCTCCGTGCGGGAGCGGGCTGTGGGTCGCCCCGGGGCCGGGGAAGGTGGCCCTGGGCACGGAGGGAAAGGCTCGCTCGGGTCTGCGGCTGGAGGGATTTAAATCACCTTTAAAGCTGGCTCTTGAGTATCTGTTGCTTTTAAGCGCACAGCCTTAAAATCGGTACCAGAGTTTTATCACTACAGAGGAAATTAGCTACGAGCAATGAGTAAATGAATTAAACTAGGAATTTAGAACCACGGAATGGTTTGGGCTGGAAAGAAAAAGAGATGAGCTTTTTTCTGCCATAGGCAGGAACACCTTTCACTAGACCAGGTTGCTCAGGGCCCCATCCAACGTGGCCTTGAACACCAGGGATGGGTCAGTGACAGCTTCTCGGCGTGAGAATTTCCTTGGGATAAGAAAAATGAGGTTTAGGGACGTTCAAGCATTTTGTAGCGGTCCTTGCTCGCTGCTCGCTGACGGTGCTGTGGGCACAACACCTGCGTTTTCAAAAGCTGGAGACTTCTTCAGTTCTCCCCCCTTCTGCTGCGCCGGGGACGCTCCCGGGAGCGGCAGCGCTGAGCCGGGGCCAGGGCTGTGCCCACCGCCACCCCAGCGGCCCGGGACAGAGCCGGGGCAGAGCCGGGGCAGAGCCGGGGACAGAGCCGGGCTGGCCGCTCCAAAGCAGCAGCACCCGCGGGAGCAGCAGCTCCGAGAGCCGGGCGGCCCCAGCGCTGGCCGCGGGCAGCTGCCCAAGTGCCGGCCCTCACGCGGGGTCC